ATATATCATCGGCCAAATAATGACCGGTACACTTCACAAAAAAGTATACCGGTCAAACTACGTTATCATCCTATTTATTCCAGATTTCGATAAATTCGTCCCTTGGAGATTACCCGGTGTAGTTTCTGGGGTTGGGGTGGAAAGTGTCGGCAGAGGAGGATCTGCGAGGGCTTGGCGTGTAGCGACCCGTGTCAGTAGAGGACAACTGGAGATGCTGGAGAATCCATCCAAGGCACTACTTGACAAAGGGAATGATCCCCTTCACAAGGCGACAAGGCAGCTTGAGGACGAAACCAGTCACCTCGCACCACATCAGCAGCATGCCCCCACGTGGGCGCACGTGGTCCTGTCCCCTTAGCCTAGTATAAATACTCATGTAAACCTCAGAAAGAGGGATCCGAATCCATTTCCCCTAAACTCCCTTGTAAAAGCACCCGTGCATTCTCCGTTATAATACAAATTGGGCTACAGGTGTTCCACCTAAAGTCCTACCGGTCGATTTGCGTGTTTTTACCTTTATTACTTTGCCAAATCGAACAAACTATTCTAGACCCGGTCTAGCATAGTCTGACCGGTCAAGTAATTTACACCATCAAAACCAATGGCCATACGAGGAAGAACGACACTTCTAAATTAAACTTGAAATTATCATAAAGTTTAATTATTATTGCCCCGTAATATATTACTCCTTCCGTTCCACAAAACCCGATCGCCCTTCCCCTTTCTTTTTTCATTCGTTCCAAAAAACACTTCTTTTTTCTTATTAAAAAGTCACTTTTACCCCTGTTAATTCTTACCCTATCTATCACATCACACTTTTTCTCTATTAATCTATTCATCTCATCATACTTTATCCATCACATCAAGGATATTTTTGAAAAGTCAACACTAAAATACACTCCCTTTAAATTTTTTAAAAGTCAAAATGAGATGTTTTTTAAGGAGATTTAAAAAAAAATACTCCCTCCGTCCCCCTGTATTTGTCCACATTTGACTTTTGGAACTGTTCATCTAAGCACTTTGACTCATCAAATTCTCTCAATGTATAAGCCTAAATATAGTCATGTGTGATATTGTTTGATTTGTCTTAACATATAGGTTATTAATATATAATTTTTATAATTTTTTAATATACAAATTACAAGATAAAATGGATTAAAGAAGTGCATTGGATGGTGTGCAAAAATGAAAGTGGACAAATACAGAGGGACAGAGGGAGTAGTTCACAATAGAAAAAGTCATATTAGGAGATAGGGGGATGAAAATTTGATAGTTCAAAGAATAAGATGAACAAGTCGTATTGATGACCAAAAAAACTCTGGAGAAGAAGCATGCGAGAAAATGGAGAGCGCACTAGCACGCGTAAGATTTCGAGCCTACGCTTATACGCTCCCAGAGCCATCATTGTGGGTAGGGTAAAGAGCATCCAACGCAAAGCGGCCTTTCATCCCTTGTTACGTCGTGGCACACCCCCCGATTTAGGGGACCAGAAACGCCTTTCTTTTTCCCCCCTTCGTTGGCCCTTTCCGCCTTCCTTAACAAGCCCTTGAGCCTCCTTTGTAAGCCGCCGGGTTGACCCAATTCTATGGTAGAAAAAGCAGTTATAATAATTGGGCTATGATAGACTTTTTAAGTATTGCAAAAGAAAGGGCATGTTGAAAAGGTGGGCGGGAAGGCGATACTAGTTATCAGGTCAGAGAGAAGCATGCCCCCCTTAAAAACCAATTAGCCCCAAAAATTACTTGATTGAACAAGCATGACAATTAAACATGAAACTTATATTTTTGTAATTTTTCTATATTTTTGTACTCCTATTTAAGGTGATTTCTTTAAGAAAAAATAGTTCAAAATAGGAAAGTGGTATCAAATCTGTCCCTAATAAGAATTCCATAATTGAAGTTATTGCACAAACATGACTTTTAAAATGTACGATGATTGAATTTTGTGCAAATGATAGATAAATCCTCTTTTTTCCAAATAAAAGAATGGGAGGGCATTTATTAATTACCAATGTATTCTATTGATGCAACCTTAAAAACTAAGTAGAAAATTTTCTTTTGAGAAACTAAAAGTCCAAACTCCAAATTAACTAGCCCTACAAGGCAGAGTAAGTTCATTTATTTAGAGCTCGCAGTTTTTCTGTGCTTTAATTGGTGTTTGTTGACTTCTTATCATAGGTTTTTTAAACATGGAAGGAAATCTACTAAAAAACACATCTGCAAATCATTTGACATTTCTGAATGAATCTATCTATCAAAATATGTTAACCAAACTCGATATTTGATACTGTTACAGAAACATTATTGTATTATCAGTAATAAAGGTAAAATATTTTGGGGGGGAGGTCTATTACAGAACAGAGATGGAGGAAACAGCATTAACACAACCCAAACAACACTAAAAAAACAACAGCCGGTGTCTTCTACATTACTACAAATGAACTCACTCATGCCATGCCACCGCTTGTTGCTGTCCGAATGATCTGGAATAGAGCTGGGGAAAGAATGGGGAAAAAATGAAGTTAGGAATCGGAAACAGCATTTCTTCTTGTCACAAGATGAGGGGAGACACGATTCGAAGAATGCCAAGAAACACTTACATGAGCCGATGACGACAAAGACGAAGAACCCAAGCAAGATTGGACCGACTGGATAATTGCTTGCCTTCTTTGCAGTGGTTTCGGGGACAGATCCTCGCTTGGTGATGTTCTTCTCAAACTTCTCCACCTTCCTACTGGATAGACGCCTTGATGTTGTCTGGTCAAAGAATACAAGAAAGGAAATGGATGTGTGAACTTATGCATACATGCAATACAGCAACCAAGGGCCCGTTTGGTGGTAAGGATTATTTGGCCGATATGCCTGAATACGCGGCATTCCCATACAGCATGTTTGGGGACTGGAATTTGAATTTCAAATCCGGATTTGGCTCAAATTCTATGTTTGAAAAATCTTAAAAATTTGGATTTGAGGCAAATTCCCCTAATTCTTTTACAAAGCTCAATTGCAAATCCATGTCTCCCCTTGTTATTTGAAATTCAAGGATTCAAATTTTAGAATTGAAATGCAAGAAATAAAATGACAAGCTAGTTCCCAAACACTACCTTAGAAAAAGTGTTAGGTAACACTCATTTCAAACCAAATAAGTACTTCAAAAGCAACAAAATGTGCTTATAAGCAAGAACAAGTCAGCACAGGCCTTTGCCTAAACTCAAGGGATTGTAACCCTGAAGTCGGCAAACAGGGACAAGGAATCATAACCCCACATTCCCGCTTCGAAATGAAAACCTTTTGGTAACCGGAAAACACACAATTGGGCAATTAGGTACTCGTATAAGTTTTACAAAATAACCACCAATCTTTTACAATCTCTATCTATACAAAATGATAATCTAGGCTATGTGAATGTTTTAGAGAGACTCAAAGTAAGCTTAAGAATTGAAGAATCAAGTAAATAAAAGAAACAATCTAAAGGCCACCGCCATTAATCTTATGATTATCATGACAGAAAAAAGATCTTAGAAAGATTTGAAATTCAAATGATGGAATTAATCCATTGTTCCAGCTAAAAATAAATAATTTCAAACCTTCATGTCATCTTGTTTCCATAATTTCAGCTCATCGAATGGTATTAGGGCTTAAACACATCACATACAGATAATGTGAAATATTCATGACTTATATTTATAACATTCTGCATCAATTGCCGGATCCACGGATAAACAACATGAATCAATTACACTCGTCAACGAAGTTTGATCAAAGAAAAATATATATTTGACAGAAGATACGTCGGCGAAACTCAACTGCCCGAAATGCAAAGAATTGAAGATAAAAATCATCAAATCAGATCGAGCGACTATAAGAGAAACACCCAAATGTACTCATTGTGGAATAAAAATCCCCAGATCCTCTAATTCCGATGAAAATAAAGCGCTGATCAGGAATAAAACGCAATCAGTTAACAGAAATTGAAAGGAAGGAGAGACGAATACCATGGTTAACGGAAGGTGAGGCGGCTGCGGCGGCGAAACAATTAGAACACCTTAGAATTTCCGTTTCCGACTCTCCGGCGAAGAAGCTGGATCTCGGCTTTCTCTTGCTCCGCTGACAATCGTCGTCGTGACACGAAATCTGCGTTTGAGAATTCGATTTATAGGAAGGGAAACGGGAGAGGAGACAAGGGGAGCGAGCCGACGGAGAACGCGTCTCATTCCTGCCGCGTTTCCACACGTAACATTAGCTGCGTGTCATTACATGATTGGATGTTTATGCAACGTCGGATAATTCCCGTAGGAATTCATACATTTGGGGCCTCTTCTTTTGGACTAAAAAATAGATCTTGGAAGAAATTGAAAGGAAATAGAAAAATTGGAAGAAACTTGAATGAATGCGAAGAAACTAAAAAAATTAGAAAAAATTAATAGAAACTGAAAAAATTATAAAAAATTGGAAAATCTATAAAACTTTTAAATTTTTTGTGTACTTTTATATTATTCTCATTCTAAATCTTATTTTTATAAATTATTATTGTTGTTATTATCATCACGTTATCTTAATGAATGCCTTTAAAATTAAAAAAATATTGTTGTTTTTCATACCCAAAAAATACTTTTGTAAAAAAAAATTAATTAGAATATATAAAATTAGCATGAATATCAAAATGTTAAATATTTAAAAGTTATTTTGTCTACGTTGCACGTCACTTTATTTATGCAGTATTTTCTCATAAAATATTGATGTTTTCTTATTTTATCATATAGATTAATATACAAAAAATGACATTATTCATGTTACAGAGTTGAAGAAAAAAATAATAATGAGTGTGAATCATAAAAGAGTTTGAAGAAAATAAAAATAGCTAAAAAAAATTGGAAGAAACTCGAAAAAATTGGAAGGAACTAGAAAAAACTAGAATGAACTGGAAAAATTTTAAGAAACTGAAAGTTAAGAATTCAAGCTCTAAAGAACAAGTTCTTCATAAATTAGATACAAGTCTTCCTTCTTGTTTAATTTTCTTATTTTACATGAAATTTGAAAAAGATAAAATTAGATAATTCAAATTTGTGTAGATAGAGAGTTGGTGAGAGCCATACGCTCATACCTAGTAGCGGATTTAAAAAAGACCCGATCGAACAATCACTTGTCAAAAATCGAACTCGAGTCTATCCCTTTATATTCTCTATCTTTCCCAATCGTGCAACACCCACCAGTGGGCACCTAGTAGCGGATTCAAATATATATATAATGGATGATGCCGTGACACATTTGAGTAAATAGTAGTACCATACGGGGTTTCGATGTAGCGCCCTTAACTTTAAAATATAATTTACAGGAGCTGATGCCCCCTTGTGACCATACCACTCCATGTATAATAAAAAACTAATCAGGGACGTTCAAACATAAAATGTGAAAAGATTAAAAAGAGAAGTATTTGTTGTCTTTTCTTTTAAGGTAAATATTGTAACATGTGGTCTATAATTTTTTCTCTTTTCCTGGAAAAAATTAACCACTCGTTTTTTTAAAATTTACTTTCTCTATACTAAACTGGATTATAATTTTTTATTTACGAGGTGAAACCCTGTATTTTTAAAATTATATTATTTTAAAATTGTTATAAAAATTAATAAAATTTATATATTAACCAGCTACGTTGAAAATTCTACAAAACAAGAGATGCCAAAAATTATCGAGAAATAGACCCCACAAAATTATACTTCGTAATCATTATTGAATTTGAGACGGGAGAAGCATGTCTTAAATTTCATTAAATCAAATTATATAAATAATTCGAGACAGGAAACATGTAAAGTGCAATTGAAAAGGGTATAAATTGACATTAATTTCTTACCTCCGTCCCATTGTCTTTGTCCACTTTTGACTTTTGGAAATGTTCATCTAAGCACTTTGACTCATCAAATTCCCTTAATGTGTAAGCCTAAAAATAGTCATGTGTGATCTTGTTTGATTCGTCTTAACATATAAATTATTAATATATAATTTGTATAATTTTTTAATATACAAATTACAAGATAATATGAATTAAAGAAGTGCATTGGATGGTGTACCAAAAAGTAAGTGGACAAAGACAGTGGGACGGAGGGAGTATTTTCTAGACAAAAGGAGTTGGTACATTACAGCATCAAAGTATTAGACAATATTATAAACGCTAGAGACGGATGGAACGCAGGTGTCGATATGTCCGAGTGGTTAAGGAGACAGACTTGAAATCTGTTGGGCTTTGCCCGCGCTGGTTCGATTCCTGCTGTCGACGTTTTTGCTTCAATTTTGCTGGCCTTTTTGAATATGATGAGGTCTCCCCGTATAAATCTTTTCCGCCATTCGAATAAAAGGTTTTGTTTTCCTAGCCTTTTGAATATGAAGTTTTTTTGAATAAATTTCATAATTGGTCTTTTATAAAAAGGGAATTTCCCTATTTAAATCTCTATTATCAAATTTTACTCTAGTGGTCCTTCTTTTATGAGTATCTTTCCACAAATAATCCTTTTTTGATCTTCTATCATGTTGGTATTAATTTGAGGGCTAAAAATGTAATTTCACAATGATAATATATACTTCATCCGTCCCAAATTATAATGCTTGTTTACTATTCACAAGGTCAAACTTCATTTACTTTCTTTCTCTATTTTCGTTAGCAATTTGATAAAATAAAATATTATTGTCACTACTAGTTTTGTAGATCTTTTGATGTAGTTTTTTAATATGTAATTTTTATTTTTTAATTCTATACCATTTGTCATATAAAATGGTTTAAAAATAATTTCAGTCAAACATCGTAAACCGAAACAGGCGTTATAAAATGGGACGGAGGTAGTATCTTTTTTGTCATACACAATTCCAAAGGTTGTTCCGTTTGCGTCGTTTGTGAAATACATTCGCTTTCTACTACAACTATAGTCTACATATGTGGTCTTCTGTCGGAATCCTAGCCCACAATCATAGTCTTTATTTTTGTGTTATCCGCTTAACCAATATCAGAACACGTCACTAGACTTAATGTTGATGTCAAACTGTACTTTTAGTCTTTAAATTAACACTCACATGACGGAAGATCAAAAAAGGACCATTTGTGGAAAGACACCCTTAAAAAAGGACTATGAGGGTTATATTTGATAATAAAAGACTAAATATGGAAACCCCTCTGTTATAAAGGACCAATTATGGAATTTACTTTTTTTTTCATTTTTGGTACTCCATTCTTCTCAGTCACTATTTAGACAATCAAATTTTAACCATTTTCTTTACTTATTTTCGTTAGTTATTTGATAAAATAATATAGTCTTGACACCTCTTATTTTGTAGAACTTTTGATGTAGTTTTTTAAATAAATGAATTTTAATTTTTTACTTTGTACCTAATAGTGTAAATTACCTTGACCGGTATATCGTTCTTAGCTAGGCAAGAACGATAAACTAGTATAACAAAATATGCAAAAACATAAGCACAAGAATTTTGAGGTGGAAACTCAATCCGGAGAAAACCACAGCCTTTTTTTGCGGTACCTTGCCAACTGTGAATTTTTGTTAATATTGGGAGTTGTACACGGTACAGAATTTGGGCTCGGCAGCCATTAATGGAAGCTTGAAGAAAGAAAATACATACAAGATCTAGAGAGAGAGTATATGACCAGGGACAGAGAGGTAGAGAGCCTCCTTAACATTGAGGGCAAACCCTCTTTTTATAAGGAATGGGGGAGCGTATTCGGAAAACATTCTCTTATTATTCCATTTTATTAAACAAGTTTGGTTTGATTGTTGTTCGTAAATAATTGGGAAATGTGGACTGAGCCACGTATTATTTCCATCAAGAAGTCCTCCACTTTTTTAAGCTGTGAGAATCATCAACTTAAGAAAGTAAATAAGTCCTCCGAGTGTCATCTTCAATCTTCGTACTTTGCATTCTTGACCAGTTGATATTGCTAGTCCTCCGAGTCTTCATTAATTCTATAATTTCCTGGATCAAATGTTTTTCCTGCAAAAAAACAATACGTACAACATTTTTTTACCTGCTAGTGTCGTGCTCGAATATAAGAGAAGCTCAGTGTTAGAGCAAATAAAACATGCACGACTAATCATCATAACGAGAGTTAGCCTTTGGTTTACAAGTTTAATTTCCTCCCACTGTACCAAAGGGACTTTCTTATAACGCTCCACTGATCCCCAAAGATAATTTCTAGCCAGCCCTTGAATATTTTTCATGACCCTTCCTGGGATAATAAAAATTCTTGCCAAAAATTTCATAATACCATAGAGAACAGATTGGGAGATGCTTTGTCTTTCATGATGTTATCCTGTTAGTAAGCTTCTCCACTACATGCATAGTAGTCATCTATTATCTTGTAGAACATTTAACGTAATTTCCTTAATATATAAGAGTAATTCTTATTTTTTATTGACATATCAATTTATAAATAAAATATTTTCAAAAGTCATAAGGTTTTACTTTGTAATTCTCAATTTGTAATTAAAATTAAGGCATAGAGAAAAATAAATTGGAAAAAATAAATTGAATGAAACATAGTAGAAAATTTAAAAATAAAATTACATCGTAATAAAATGGAGTGATAACTTCTTTATTCTTTTGAAAGAATAAAATGGAGTAATAACTAAAAGCAAGAACGAAAGAGAACTATATATAACTAAGAAAAAGTAATGATATAGAGCCTTTTTATAATTTCTAAAAATTTAAAATAAATTTTATGGATTATGGAGTCTTTTGTCCACATGGTAGAAATTTAATGGAGGGGTATGCACTATGCATGCCCTCTCATTTGCTTGGGCATCCGAGAAACACCCTAATCAAAATATGCATTATTGTATTCTTACATGTCGTAATAAAGTTTGCATTTCTTTCCACCACTCTACTAGTAACATCACACTTCTTAATGTTCTTAGACATCTTTCGAATCTTAACGGAAAGGTGGCTCATACATTTCTCTCTTCTAAACAAATACGGTGTAACAATCATAATATAGTTTAGTTTTTTAACATTTTTTACTATGTAAGGTTAAAGTTTAAATTTTATTACATGCTAGAGGAAGTAGCAACAACCTAGTAAAATACCATGAAAATAGGGTTTGGGGAGAATGGTTTATACATACCTTACCCCTACTCTAAAGTAGAGAGGCTACTTCCAAGGGATTGCAATTCGAGCAACACAGAAAACACAAAACACGACAAAGAAGTAACAAAAGCACACTATGGGTAAAAAAGTGCAAAGAGACAAAAAAACAACATATAAACCGTCGCTAGCAACTATACCACGAGCATAGAAGTCACGCAACGACAAAAGCAAAAGCCACCACCAAAGCCCAAACGACTATCCAATTATCTTAGTCTTAGATCTACAGACGTTACAGACGTTCCTATCTAAGGTCACGAACGAGTACAAATGCATGCCAATAATAGTCAAAATGTTGCATTCTATATACAGCATTATTCAATCTGCGCATACTAGTTTGGAACAAAGCCAGGAAGTACAAGATTAAAAGAGTTACACAATGAAGAATGAACATAGAATTTGAAGATCAACTTTATCTATTTTTTTCACCTTCACTGTCACGGTGTCCAAATCATCAATCGTCATTCTTCTGTAATGAAGTCCAGCGATGGGAGGGAGAGCTTAGGGATCTTAATGGCAGGAAAGGGCGATGCTCGCGACGCCTCATCGCCTTGCCTCTTCTGTTTTCTTTCTTCTTCTTTTTCTTCTTCGTCTTCTCCTTGATGGGGTGCTTTAAGGCGGCGCCTGAGCATCCAGGAGACGAAACCCCCGAATGATCGGAGCGGGTGGTTCAGGCCGTCTTTCAGCTTAAGGATCAGAGACACCTCTGAGACCTGCCATGTTAGGGTCAGCACCATTAGTGCTGACACCAGGCATTGTGTCACCATGTTCTGCCTCTGCAATTTCCTCAGCTCCTTCATCACTCTATCTTCTTTTTCTTCTTCTTCGCCTTCTTCGTCTTCGCCTGTTTCGCAAGAACTCTCGTTGCTTATGTTTTTATGAGTTCTTGCAGCCACTTTTGCCCTCTGTCTTTGCACCATTATTTTGTCATCAATTGACTCCTGTAAGATTCCTTGCATTAAGGCCCAACTTTCAGTCTAAATACAAAAATCATGTCACATTGAATCATCCTCCTCTGTGTAAATTTGAACCACAATTTCAGTTCAATGATCATGTCACATTGAATCTAATGAGGAACTTTATTATGGATTGGAAAGAGTACTAAATTATGGGATTATCAAAATCAAAGTAATTAGAGTTGTTAACTGGTAGGTTGAGTGAGTGGGTCAATTCATTTTTAGGTATCTTATTTTACCAACTTTGTTCTTAATCCTTTTTTTTTAAATTTTATGCCAATTCCATCCTCTTTATTTTTTGCATCTCAAGTTATTCAGCTTCAGCTAGTTTTACACTTCCTATTGAATGTAAATAATATAGAAGAATGGTTTTTTTCATTTCATCTTAGTATAAAATCATGACGTAAATTACTCGAAAGTAAGTCTTAAAGTAATTAGTAATAAATTAATATCTCCATTTTTATATGAATATATATATTATAAAAACAATATATTTCAAAACTATGTTTCAAAACGAATATATTGATAATAAATTTATATGAAAAATTTAATATATTTTTTTCGTATTATACGGTCAAATTTTAAAAACTTTGCATACAAAAGTCAAACCGGAAAGTTAATTTTAAGGCGGAGGGAGTATAAAATTATTTGTCTCTTTAAAAGTAATTTACTATGAGATTTCCTACACGAATCCAATTTGTTAGCTTCTAAACATTCAATTACGAATTCAATTTTCACGATTCGATTAACTTTAAATTGATTTTGCCAAACACAGCCTTGTTTATCCCAGAGAGTACCTTACCTCTGAGATTGGGCCTCGCCGGAGATCAGATCTCTGTTCATCGGCGGCGAGGGAGTTGGCATGGGATTCGGAAGCGTTTCCGGCGACGAATTCAAAGTCCTCCTTCGTAATCCTTTTGGCTTCCAAAGAGAACTCCACTTGCGATGATTCCATTGATTTCATGAAGGGCAGGAGAAGAAGAAGAAGAGAGAAGTGGAAATGCAATTGGGAATCGGTGCCTTGAATATATGACTATATGTCTATGAAAAATGTACACACGTACCCCATTTCTCCCCCACCCCTTCCATTACTACAAAAATAGACAAGAAATTAAAAAAAAATTAAATAAATAAAAATGGGGTTAAAATGAGTGGTAAAAAAAGGGATGGGGGACAAATGGGGTACACCTTTGATGTACTCCTAACATGACTCTATGGCCTTGTTTGGATCTTGGCAGTTGGCTGTTGGCTGTTTATGTTAGCTGGTTTGAATGGCTGATTGAGTTAGCTGTTTTGACCGGCTATTTCTGTTAACTGTTAAATTTTAAGTGTTTGGCAGCCTTAGCTGTTTATAGTTAGTTGTTTGTAAGTAAAATTACATAAAAGGACATCCCTCCATTTATGTTAATTTGTATGTAATTTTTAATTTTTCTTTAATTTTCATAAAATACGTACATTATACAAGCAAATACTCTGGACATCCCTACATCTTTTTTTTGGACAAAAAAGGCTACTTCATTTTTTTATAATTTAAGAAATGAAAATTTATATTTATATTTTATGAGTAGACTTTTTTTGTATTTATTTCATTTGTCATTCTACAAATAACCACCGTGCATGGTATATTTTATTTTATAGTTTTTTTAAATATCATAACATAAATATTTAAAGATACTCTACACCAACTTTAAATTAAAAACATTAAATAAAAAATTACGCGAGACAAGCATCACAATCTGAAGTATCAAATACTTTTTGAGACGACATGAGCATTAAAAGTGACAAAAAATCAGACAAGCTCTCGAGTTTTTACTAATGAGATCTTTTCGCCATCAAACTAGAAGTAATATTATTACGGATCTTTCTCATTTCCTGACTTCTTATCCTCATCTCATTATTTGCAACTTGGGTTTTCAACATCTTCAAACATCATAAAAAGTGTCACCATCATAAATCCCACGAGGTGGCATAGGCATATAAATATCATCACCCTCACGACCAAGATTATTATGAACACCTGCACCAACTCTACTTTCAGCATTTTCATCCTCTTGAATGTGACTTCCTGGAGTGTACTTATTATTTCCTTGTGCCGAACATGAAAAAATCTGCTCCAATTTCACTTCTAGGTCAGGTTCAATCCCTTCATCTTGAAATTGTTCAGCATGAAAAAATCTGCTCCAAGATCACAAAGGATGTAAACCGATTCTTTTGACCAAATAATCCTTCCACCTTTGTTGTCATTGGTGTTTTCATTCTCACTTTGAGATCCTTGGATACTTTTGTTATGACAAGGAGCCATAATCTAACACTAAATAAAATTTAAAGTTAAAAGTTTAGATAAATTTTACAAGTATATTGATTGATACATATAACTTCATTTTTTTGATTCATATACAATTTCAAATCAGTTTGGGTCTAGGTTATTTGTTTTGTGATTTATTTGAAAACTAAAACTAGACAACAAAAAGTAGAACAAGGAGAAGCAAAAAAAAAAACAGAAATGCAACAAAGAGAAGTTTGGGAACAGAAACGCAACAAAGAGAAGCAAAAAAAAACACAGCAAATTCAAGAGCAGTCCACCACAAAAATAGAAACGCAACAAAGAGGAGCAGATTCACAGCAAAAAAAGTAGAATCGCATAAAAAAACAGTCTCACATCATAGAGAAGCAAAATCACAGCAGCAAAAAAAAATCGCAACAAAAAAACCCTAATCGCAGATGGCCTTGAAGATGTATAAGTTTCAAATATTTAGATGTAAAAAATAATGAAAATATACATACCCGGTGCCTTGAGGAGGGAAATCGTAGAGAGAAAGAGAGAAACTTCCAGTTCCGAACCGTGAAGAAAATCGCAGAGAGAGACGCAGCAGATGGCTTAAGAAAATCAAAAAAAAAAGAAGGGTAAGAAACGGAACTGCTGAACAAACGCTCTTATGGGTGGCGTTTCAATTTTTGGCAGTTGGGTTCCAAATGCCAATTCCAAATGCTAACATCCAAACAATTAATTTGGCAGTTTGACCTGTTCAATCTGCCATTTATGGTCAAAAAAGCCAAATGCTGAGCAAAATGCCATTTACCAAACAGGGCCTATGTCTATATACAAACCGTCCCACGAAAAATAGGCTATAACGAAGGAGACACGTGCTCCGCTTATAATACACATGCATAAAAGACCGTTC